CACACACACACACACACTCTCTCTCTCTCTCTCTCTCTCACTCTCTCTCTCTCTCTCTCTCTCTCTCTCCTCTGGCTTCCCCCGGGGCCGCCTGGCTCATCGGACGCACCTTACTGCTCTTCTCCCAATGGACGCGAGGAACCACCACAAAGCGGAAGTGCTCCAGCTCCCGGGCGCAGCGCTCCGAGTTGCGCCCCTCGTTTTCAAAGTCCAGCTCCTGGGCCAGGGTGCCCTTCAGATCCTGCAGAGGAGGAGGAGGAGGAGGAGAAAGAACGTCCAGCTCCTGGGCCAGGGTGCCCTTCAGGTCCTGCAGAGGAGGAGGAGGAGGAGGAGGAGGAGAAAGAAGGCCAAGGTCATCCACCACAAGATGCACCACCATGAGCGGCATCGACGGAGATATTCAGAGAACAATGAAAATTTATTTAAAATCAGGTGGGGGCTGCAGAAACAAAGCAAATCAGATCAGCGGGCTTTAAGATGGGACAGCTTGAAAATAAAAAGACACGTTTTAAAAGAGGCTGCAGAAACAAAGCAAATCAGATCAGCAAGCTTTAAGACGAGACGGCTTGAGAAGCCCTGCTTGAAAGAAAGACACATTTTAAAAGAATCCTTCAGCATCTCCAGTGGGGGGGGGGAGGAGAATTTCAGCTGGCGAGTCACTCCAGAAGAGAGGAGCGACGGACGGGAAGGCTCCTTCGTTTTCCCATCCCGGGCCTCTCTCTCTGGGGGTTCGCCTTCTCCGCCACCCGCCCCCAAGATGCTCAGGGAGGCCCCTCTTGGAAGGAGGTGTTCTGCCATGCACCGAGGTCCCCAAACCGTTTAGGGCCCGACAACCACCATCCAGTGGTCGCAATGACCAGATAGGTGGGGTATAAATAAATAAAATAAATCCAGAACAACTGTACATCCCACGATAGAGACCGTGGCCAGTCGAGTCTGAGCCAGAAGGCCAAAGAGGGACTGCCTAGAAGTCTGCCCTCTCTAAATAAAATAAATCCAGAACAACTGTACACCCCACGATAGAGACCGTGGCCAGTCAGTCTGAGCCACGGTCTAGGACTACCTAGAAGTCTGCCCTCTCATCTATCTTTTAGAGAGGAGGGGGAGCGTCGCGCACACACGTAGACAGCCCCCTCCCACTCTTAGACCACCCTTCCCAGAAGTCCAAAAGGAGGGGGGAGGAGAAAGAGAGAAGGGTGGCTGGTCCCTCTCCCCCCCAGCCACAAAACAGAAGAGCCCGGGGGGGGGGTTCCCACCCAGGATACCTTCAAGACCCAGCTGAACCCAAAACTGGGGTGCATCAGCTCTATGATCCGCAGGAGGAACTCCAAGGTGTGGAGGTCCCCGTCAAACCGGTCCCTCAAGTCGATGTACTGGACCTGCAAAACAAGGGGGGGGGAGTGTGGGGGAGGCGGCGGCCTGAGAAACGGGAGCAGCTTCGGAGAAAGGAGGCAAAAAGCCTACGGTAGCCCCTTAGCTGAGATGCTGCCCGCCCCCCCAGGTTGTACTGGCCGACACGACCACATCTCCCAGTGGCTGGCCAGCCCGTTGGGGGGGATAATGGACACTGTAGTGCAACACCCCCCTATGGGCAGCTGATAAGGGGAGGGGGATTGTACTGGTGCAGGAGAGCCTCCGATGCTGGAGCCTGACCCCACGCCAAGAGAGCATCTTAGGAAGCACACACTTGCCTACACACACACACAGACGGACACACCTTCACCGCCACGGGGGTGCCACCCGTTGGGGGGGATAATGGACACTGTAGTACAACAGCCCCGTATGGGCAGCTGATAGGGGGAGGGGGACTGTACTGGTGCAGGAGAGCCTCTGACTCTGGAGCCTGATGCCACCCAAAGAGTCAGGCAGGCTTAGGGACCCCCCTATGGGCAGCTGATAAGGGGAGGGGGATTGTACTGGTGCAGGAGAGCCTCCGATGCTGGAGCCTGACCCCACGCCAAGAGAGCATCTTAGGAAGCACACACTTGCCTACACACACACACAGACGGACACACCTTCACCGCCACGGGGGTGCCATCGTGAAGCCGGGCTCGGTGCACCTGGGCCAAACTGGCAGCCGCGACGGGCTGGTAGTCAAACTCCAGGAAGAGCTGGTCGGCCCTGGCGGTGAAATCTTCTAGGAACAGGTCATCCACCTGCGGCCAGAAAGAAGACCACCCCACCAAGGGTCAGGGAGCATCTCCGGCGAGAGGGTTCATGGCCGGAGTGGCTCTGACGAGAAGCTGACCCAGCCAGCAAGAGCGTAAGCGGGCCAGAGGCGGCAAAGTGCCAAGGCAGGGCCTCCAAATGCAGGCATCACCAGAGCTATTTAAAAATGACTCCACGGCCACAGTTAGGAAACCACGGCCCGTGGCAGAAAGGGCGCACTGGCGAAGAACGAATTGCTCAGTGAAAATTGAGATTCATCAGATACAAGAAGACAGACAGACTGGCCGGCCAAAGAGAAGGTTTATCCCACAGCCGCTTACAAGTGGGACGGATTTCACCACCAATCCGCGTGTGAGCGGCCGTGGGAGAAAGCCCCACCAGAGAGCTGAAACCCCATGGAGCCATGAAGATCCCCCAAGAGGGATAAAAGGAGGGATGGGTGACCTGGACCGAGGCAGGCAGGCAGGCAGGCGTCACACGTTTCCCGCAGCAAAGGGGAAGAGATCCGGGAATTTCGGAAAGAAGCTACTCAACGATCAGAAAAAGAAAACCCAGCAACCTGGGATCCCTTCCTTCTGCTCCCGGCCGGCAGTTTTACCTCCGTGTAGCCGCGCTTGAGCGCCCGGTCCTCCAGCACGCGCAGGGTGTTGACATACTCGGGGGGCAGGAGGTGGTTGAAGGCGCACAGGCCCTGGCCCAGCTTGACGTAAAGCCCCCCGTTCTGGATGGCGCCCGAGACGATGCAATCGGCCGACCGCTGGTGGCAGCCTGACAGGACCGTCAGGTATTCTGGGCTGTTCTGACAACAGGGGAAAAAAGCAAGTGGAGGGCAGGCCGTCAGGGCTCTCCAAGCCGGAGGGGGCCAGCCCTCAAAGCTTCCGGCCCTTTTCCCACCCACTCGGTCTGCAGCCCCCCAACTGCCGCCCCTCCACACCCTTTACACTCCTGGGGGAAATCCGTCCCCGTGCACAGCACAAGATGAGGAGCTCAGCTCGTTCCAGGCGCTAAACAAAGCCACGCCAGGCGAGCCCACTGTCCACCGTGGACAGCCCCACCAAGCCTCTCCAGGTGGGGCTGGGGGGACCCAGCTTTAAATCCAAGACCCCCCCATGGGTAACATCCAGAGCTGACCATCCTGAACCTGAAGGACCTCGGGGTTGTGACTCAGGTTAAGGGAGCTTCCTCTAGCGAAGCTCAAGCCTGTCTCGAGGTCCGGCCGCCAATTCAAAACTGAATCTAGGGCAGCGGTAAGCTCAGCGTTGGGGAAGCCTGAGCGTGACTCGGGCTGAGAGCAGAGCGAGCCGCCCGCCGAGTCGTTTTCCCGCAGATGGGCTGGACGGAGGTGCCAGCCAGAAAAGGTAAATCATTAATAGGTCACACGGCGGCTGGACCGAAAGAATTTATTTCTAGCCGACTACGTGGGATAATCAGAGGGCTTTTGAAAAGCGGTGATGGAGCTGAAGCAGGGTGGGATACGTAGTCAGAGAAATGTAACATGGAGTCAGACAGGTTCTGTGTGAAGGTGAATTGAGGGACGTTGGAATGTGTTTTTCTAAGTGCTATGAGAGTGTTTTTCTGAAGACCGGTACAGCATGGTTCGAGATAAAGCGGAAGGTCGAACAAAGACCGGTACAGCGTGGTTCGAGATAAAGCGGAAGGTCGAACTCGAACGAAGAGGCCCGTGGAAGATTCAAGGGGCCCGTGGAAGACTCAACGTTCCAAGCTAATTGTAGAAGAGATAAAACATCTGGATCTTCATGGGAGTGGAGGGCGGAGAAAGGTGTTACAGGCCCTTGGGGCTAATTGATTAACCAGAAAGGTGTTACAGCCCCTTGGGGCTAAGTGATTAATAGCCATGAAGTGTCATGAAAAAAAGAGGAGGTAGAGAATGTAGAAAACTTCCTAGTAGGTCTGGGTTTGTCACACCATGAAGCGTCAAGAAAAAGAGAGGAGGTAGAGAATGTAGAAAATTGACGATGGGTTATGTGGGAGAAGCTCGATTTCATGATGATGAAAAAAGAACTTGATGGTTTGAGCATGTGGCTTGAAGGATAGAGAATGTGAGTAAAGAGAAAGAAGGAGGTGGGGCGAGCCCACCTTAATAGTGTTTTTATTTTAATGGGAATTAGCTATTTTATTTAAATGTAATCATCTTTGAATACAGTGGTGCCTCGCTAGATGATAATCTGTTCCACTGAAATCGCTGTTTAGCGAAATCATCATCTAGCGAAAAGCATTTCCCCATTGGAATGCATTGAAACCTGTTTAATGTGTTCCAATGGGGAAGAATCGTTGTCGTCTAGCTAAGATCGGCCATAGGAAAGCTGCTTTGCGAATCACCGATCAGCTGATTTTAATAGCCGTCTTGCGAAAAACGGGCCCGAAAACACCCGTTTTGCGAAGATCGCCCCTAGGGAAGCCATTTTGCAAACCACTGATCAGCTGTTCTAAGTCATTGTGTTGCGAAAAAACGGTCTATGAAGCACGGACCAAATCAGCGAACCACCAATCAGCTGTTCTAAATTGTTCTGTTGAGAAAAAATGGTCTGCGAAGCACGGACCAAATCGGCGTCCAGCAAAATTCCCCCATAGGAATCACTGTTTTGCGAAGCAAAACGGCTGCCGCAAAACGTCGTCATGCAGATTCGTCGTTTGAGGGGTAACCGTCTTGCGAGGTGCCAATGTATGTTCTTCATGCTAAAGCTTGTGCCATATAAACTTATTCTACGAAACTCTGTTTTTCTAATAAAAATTAATTATAAAAAAATCTTACAAAAGGACTGGTCTCTTGAACAGCAGGGTCTGGCTAAATCCAGGGAGTGGAGAGGGCCACAAACTAGCTGTCTTGAAGAGTCCTCCCTCACCAAGCTGTTGTGAGTTCTAAGGAATCACAAAGCCCATGTGTCTGTACTTGCAAAGTACTGGATACAGTAAAAGTAAAGTATTCTTTTTAAGGTCAGGCTTGGTCAAGGGGCTTATGGTACGCATAAGCTGAGGTCTTGGGACTTCCCTCAGCGCAAAGGGGGTGGGTCAGTGGCCTGTCGAACTCTCTGACGAAGGGCTAAGCGCTCCTTAGGGAGGAGGCCTTGGGCACCATGGCGGACAACAAGGTCCAGCCAGCAACCACTCGGACAAAAGCCACAGGGGCGGCATCCGCCCGGAAGGGAGGTCAGACATGATTTTTCCAGGAGAGAAGAGGAACTAAAGTCACAAGAGCTAATCCGTGAGCTTTTCAAGTTTGCAAGAGCTGAGCTCCGAGGGAGAAAAAAAGGTCCTCACTCCTGCAAAACGTAAGTGTAAGAAAGAGAGTTTTCTCCTCCAAGCTGACCATGAGCTGCCAACAACAGCTTGCTCTAAAAGGCCTCTGACAGGGCACACCAGCTTTTCTCTTTATGGGGTCCTGGCAACCCTACGAAACTTTCCTCAAGCTGACGCTGAAGAACGGGGACCTCCTGATCCCCAGAAGAGGGACAGAAAGCCCTGACTTGAAAAGCAGGAGGACTTCCGGTCACTCCTCTAAACGAGCCGGTGCGACTAACAGGCCCACCTCGCCATCCATGCCCCAAAGAGAAGTCCAGGGAGGGCAAGGGGTTCAAGAGCCATCGCCCCCCCCCCTGCCATGAGAGAAAGCCTCATACGGCGAGAGAATTTTTCTCCGACCCTCTTCCTCCCTGGCTTCTCTCCCCTTAAATGAGCCCCCCGGGGGGGGAACGGGTTCAAGCAGAAGCGCCGGCACCGTACCTCGTCCAGGCCCCGTAACGAGATGTGGTGCGTCCACCAGTAATCCAGAGAGATCTGGATTCCTAGCCGCAGCGATCTGCGGGAAAAGAGGACCATGGAACGTCAGTAGATGAAGCCCCCCCCAAAAAACACAACATGACCCCCCACACACACACATCCTTTGCTACTGAGCGAGCTCGCTTCCTCCCCAGCTTGTGTGTGCCCTTAAGAAGCGACAAGCTGTTCACCCAGACTAGGAAAAGTTACTTTTGGAGGACGACAGCTTCCAAATTATGAGCTTCAGCCTCCAAAGGGTAATTTTTCCAAGCTTTGCTTCCTTCCAGAAGAGGACCCCGAGATGCACCCAGATGGCAAGGTTTTCTGAAGGGCACCGGGTCTGGGCCAAAGAGGAGTTCCCCCTACACGCAAGCAGAAGGTTCCTCCCCGACTAACAAGGGACAAGAACGTGGGATGCACCCGGCTTGCAGGCGGTACCTGGGCGTAATTCCCAGCCGCCACTCCCAGGAGCAGACCAGGAGGGCTTCTCTCTGCTCAAACCCTGGAGGGCAGCGGCCAGTCCTCACCGAGCAGGACAGGCCGGGTCAAAGGGACTAAAGGTCCCTGCTGGATGATGCCCTTTGCACAGGTGATAGGTGGGGTGGGGTTGCAGGGCAGGCTCCAGCCTCCAGAGCCACCTCCTCTTCTTTACGGGCCTCCATGCCCCCAGACGCCCATCACACCAAATGGCATACAAGGCGCAACCAGGTGGCAGGGAAAAGTGTTGAAAGATGCCCCCACTCCAAAAGAGTTTGCAACCTGGAGCAGGACAGTTCCTCCTTCCACCCCAGCCAAAAACCACCTGGCCGGACCTGTGTCCTGACAGGAGAGCGTTTTCCACCACACACACACACACACACGGACACACAACAACAGCGGCCTAGTTTAAGGTTGCAGGATAGGCCCTGTGCCATGGTGCAGCGGGCCCAGGGCTCACAGGGTGGATGTTCTGGGACCTCCTGAATGGCAGGACAATGCCACCGATCACCCTTCCCTATGTGTAAGGCTTCCCTGTTGTCGCTAGGCTCGGTTCCCCTCCTCTCTGTAGCTGGGGGGGGGAGGGAGATCCATGAATTGTCCCAGAAACAGTAGACGACTGAAAGCTAACCCTCCCGCAGGAGGGAGATCCATGAATTGTCCCAGAAACACTGAAAGCTAACCCTCCCGCATTGCAAACTATCCAAAGGCTGTTTGATCTTGAACGGGCAATTAAGATCCATTCTCTCTACAAAACACCTCCTTCTCCATCTGCTAATACAGACCAATTGGGTGGCTTTCTTTGTAAAAGTTCAGCGAGATGGATGCAGGAACCAGCCTGCCTTTCCAAGTTCATCTCCACATCGCTGGCTGTGTGACACACACCTCCTGCCTGTTCATCCCCCCCCCCAAAGAGGAAGAGGGGCCAAGGCCACCTCGGTTACCTGACAAAGCGCCCGATGCCCTCCACCAGCAGCCTCGCCTTCCGGCGTTCCTTCTTGTCTGCCACGGCGTAGCGGATCCCGACTGCCAGAGGGATCCCCACCGAGGCTCCCAGGAGGGCCTTCTTCATCAGCCCCCACTGCCCACGAGACCTGGAGGGAGCAGGGAGGAAGAGAGATCAGCTCAAAGGATCCGGGGCATCTCCGGGGAGGGGCCGGCACAGTCTTAACAGAGCGGCCTCCTCCTCATTCCCAGCTTCGTAGCAGGACAGGACAGCAAGAGAGGAAAGGGGGAACCCAGAGGTGATCTAGTCTAATGCACCCTTGGCTGGCCAACCAAGACAGCTCCGTGGGTGAGTTGGGAGAGGGAAATAGACTAGGAAAAGAAGAGGGGTTAAACAGAAGATCATCATCATTATCGCAATTGCTGCACAACAGCCTGGCTCTCAGAACCACAACACAGAGACATGGAAGGCTCCTGACCAGAGACGGGCACAAACCTCTGGTTTGTACGATTCTTTTCTCAGCCGAAGAGGTGCCTGGCGCTTCAAAAGCCCTGCCTCCTCCAGCAGCCGCCCACTCGAGAGAGGCAGCAGCCTGGCTTCCCTGCCCCAGAGCCTCCAGGCACTGCCTCCGAGCGAGTGCCTGCTGGAGGAGGCAGGGCTTTGAAGCCCGAAACTTGTGTTCGGCTGATAAACGAACCAGTACGAACTCCTGAACCGGCAGTTCCTGCCCATCTCTAGTGCTGACCCGCAGAGGCGGCTATTCTAAAAGACGCACCTTGGTTTTTCGGCCCCTCACATGTAGGGAAAGACCCCTCTGGCTGGGCCGGCCGGCAGGAACAGAGGCCACGCAAGGGGCACCGGATGAAAAGGCCTCAAAACCTAGCTATTCCCTCACCAGGACGTCCCTCAACCTGCTGCCATGCCAATGTGTTGAATCGCAAGCCCCATCATCCCCAGCCAAAAGGCCCAAGGGGGCAGTCCGCTCGGCTAAGATTGGCCTGAGGGATCTACCTCAAGCAAGCCCATTTGGGGGCCCAAACCAGGCCGCAACCCCCACCCTCACCCTGAGCCGAACCCCCCCCATGCTTTTCGGGGATCCACTCTGTAGCATCGGGGCTGCAGGGAGCAGCTTAAAAAACTCATTCAGGG